TATATATAACATAATATATCTAAATATTATATAAATATATTGTATAAATATTATATATATTATTCATTCAATCCATACTGTCTTAATATTTGCAAAGTTTTATACTCCCCATTCTCCACATTCTCTTCCATAACCAGATCCTTTAACTCCTCCAGATGGTAATCTTTAATCTGATTTAACTACTTCATTTACAAAGACCATTCCTGCATCTAAATTATTAACAAATAATTCAATTTCTTTTTTATCATTGCTGACTACAACTGCACCTAATCCAAAAGATGTGTTATTTGCAATGTTCAATATTTCATCATTACTATTAGCTTTAATTAAAGTGAACAATGGTCCAAATGTTTCTTCTTTAGCCAATACATTGCCTTCTTCAACTTCTACTACTGTTGGGATGATATAATTTTCATTTTCCTTTAATCTTTTTCCTCCATAAAGTACTTTTGCTCCTTCATCTACGCCTCTATTTATTTAGTTTAATATATTAATTATTAAATCTTCTCTTGCCATAGGTCCTAAATCTGTATTCTCTTATAATGGATCACCTATTTTCAATTTCTATAAGCCTTGAATTAATTTCTCTTTAAAAATATCATAATATTAAAAATGAACTATGAATCTCTTTGCTGAAAAACATACCTATCCACAATTTGCTACTCTTGATTTTAAAGCTAATTGTACTGCTAATTCAACATTTGCATTTTATAATACACAAAATGGATCTGATCCTCCTAATTCCAATACACTTCTTTTTAAATATTTACCAGCTGTTGCTCCTATTATTGAACCTGCACTACTAGATCCTGTAAATGATACACCTTAAATCTAAGGATGTCCCATCACTTATTCTAATTATTATCCTGTTGTAAATGCATTCTAAAAGATATTCCCATCAAATCCAGCTGATGTAAATAACTCTTATAATGCTAATCCACAAAGTCCTGTTGAATCAGAAGGTCTATGAATTACTGCATTACCTAATACTAACATTGGTATTATTGGCTTAAAACCTAATCAATCTATCAATTATCATACATAACCAAAAAGGAAAATTAAAAGGTGATATTGAATATATTGTACCTATAGGACTATATTAAACATAACTATTCTTAGCCTCTGTTTTTACTCTCTAAGGTTGTAAATATTTATTTATATTTTCAGCATAATATTTACAATAGTTCTATGATTTCTTTACTTCTCCTATTGATTATGTTATTGGTTTCCCTATCTCATAAGATATTAATTTAGCATACTTTTCTTAATTCTAACCTAATAAATCAGCCAGTCTATTTATATTACTATTTTTACTTCAATAATTTATCTGATCTCGTTTAATAATTACTATTCTTGTTTACTTAATATCCTTCCTTTGATTATTATATCACCTAATTTAATTCCTAATCATTTAAAAATTTGAATTCCCCTAATACTTATTTTGTAGCTGGATTTTTTGATATAAATTATCTCATTTTTCCGATTCTTATTATCTTATTATATGATAATTATTAATAAATATATATTAAACTATAAATAAATATACTAAATATTGATACTATTAACTATTTCATTATTTTTTTAGATTCAAATTCATTTTTTTTTTTTCAATACAATTTTCCTATATTTACTCAATTTCATTTTACAAAATTTATTTGTAATTTATTTTATATCAAATAACTCATCTAGTAAAATTATACCATTAAACTTAATTTATTTACCATATTTGAAATTCAAATTACTTCTTAAGAAAGTAAAAATACTTTATTTATCATTTTTTCATTAATATATTTATTGAACAAAAAAATATTTTGAGAAAATTTATAATAAAATAAAGCAAATAATTGATTATTTCTTCATGAGAAATTTTAAACTTAATTTAAATCTATTAATAACATCAATATTCTAGAAATATAATTTAATCAATTGAGTTAAACAGAATTAAAACAAATATATTAAAATTTTGCATTTTTAAAGATTAATATAATTTCTGTAATTCTATTAATAAAAATAAAAAAATGATTAACTTTGATACATCAAATTACAATATTGGTGTATAAATACCTGCTATTAATTATAACCCAGGTATTTAAATATTCCAAATGTTCTCATACATATAGCAATGTGGTATTGATCCTTCATAGATTGATTTGACAATTGATGGATAATACATTTTTGACATTTCAGATTAGAATTTCATTTCATAATATTTTAACCAAGATACAACGTTGTATATATTACCTAAACAACAACAACAACAAGCACAACCAACATTTTAGGTCTGGGTTGATGGATAACAAGTATTATCATAATAATTACAAAATATGCCCATAAGTGAGGTATATATATTATTGAATATCAAATAGTTGTTATAAGGTCTGAATTTAGGAACAAATTATAATATTGATTTTTATGATGGAAATGGTCAATTATTAATGTAAAATGCTAATCAATAGTCTAATTTATACGATTATGCAAATGGATAGTAACTTGTAAACATAAATTTGACAACATTATAAATTCAAAATAATCCTAATTCTAATTTTGGTTCTAATCCTAATATTGGTTCTAATCCTGGCGGGAAAACTGGATCTTCATTGTAATAAGATTATATTAAACATTAGTAATGATGCTTCAAAACTTCTTGAATCATTGATTTTGCTTAAGAATGTGAGTTTATTGATAGATCCAAATGGTTAATTTGCTGTTTATAAATTTCATTTCCCAACTTTAGTTTAAGGATATCTTTAAAGAAGTAAAGGAAAAGACCCTTCATCTTTTCATGGCATACATAACTATGATTGGGTTAAAAAACATGATATTTAGTATTGCTCTTTAGATGATTATGGATTTGCTATTGCTTGGGGAGATGGAAATATAAGTTCAGTTAAAATAAAATAATAGTGATTATTATTATATAAAAAGTAATGAAAATAACGATGTATAAATTTCCATGTTTTATATGGATTCATTATTCTTTAATATTATAATCTATATATAAAGAATATAAATCTATTAATTATTGACACAGGAGTAACAGGATTATAATCTGTCTATTAATAAATATAATAAAGTTAAAATGTAAGATCATCAAATAGATGTGGTAGTTGAATTTAAACATTTAAAAGCTGATGAATAAACGATTCTGAGCTCTGAGGGGATTTAATTGGATCAGGATATGATTTAATTTTTAAAAAATTTTTAGTGATCAAGAATTTAAAAAATCTATATTAAAAAGAATCTTAGTCACTTAATGATTTTATTAAAGGTAGAAATTAATAAGATGAACCACTTTTAAAAAAATTATAATGAAAACAATAAAAAATGGAATTTAATAATTTATTTTATACTTAATATGATAATGAATATACATATTTAACAAAATTGTTGCCAGACCTATTGAAATATATGAAATTTATAGATCAATGGTTGCATCTGATTTTCAAATTATTTTCATCACCTTAGTATTGTTGATGAAATATTTAAAGATACCATATATAAATAATATTATATAGTACATAAGAAATATTAATACCATTTATATAGATGATAATAACTTCAAGACACTATTATTATAATTTCAACGTAGATATATCTTAATAAATCTTCTAATTATTAAATCAGCACTTAGAATAAAAGAATTAGATCATAGTAAATATCAATTTCTCAATAAACTATAAATAATTTCTATTAAAAATATTAATAAATAAGATTTAGATTTTTGTATTTGGTGAGGAAATTCGATATTAATTTGATATAACTAGTTGTTGTGTACTTAGAATACATTTAAAAAAACATATTGTAAAACCTTTATAGCATGAGCAGGATTTTTACTCATAAATTTAATCAATATTCTTTATGAAGGGATAGGTCAAGTGAAAATTAATCAATAATAATTGGATAATTGGGATTGAGTGCACCTTTTTAAGTTATGGAAATAGGTCATAAAGGATTTTTTTAAGTAATTCATTTAATAATAGATGAATATTACGAAATAAATTTGATTATCTTAAAATTATGAAGATTGGGGAAACACATCTTTTTTTGAAGAATTGTATTCAAATCTAATGACAGGAATTTATAATAGTTAAAGATAAATAATTTCAGCACCTCTTAAAATAGTTTCTGCAATTCATGATACTTATGAAAGTGGAATTAATACTGTTAAATAATGAATTAAATGAAAATGTATATATATATGGATCATTTTTATCCAATTTATAATTATTCGCTAAAAGATTCAAAGTTTAATTGTATTTCATTATCTATTTAGAAACTTAATTCACTAGGTTCAATTAAATCTTATGCAGTTTATTCATTGTTCTCATTACTTAATGATTTTTCAGATTTATTAATCTTTATTAAAATAAATAATATAATTACTCTTTTATCATTTTTACGAGCTAAGATTTCTTTTTATTTCGAACTTAAATCATTGAAATATTTACAAATTATTTCCTGATAATTTTGACAAAACATAACATGATTATTTATTTATTAAATATCTTAATTATTATTTTTATTATTATTATTGCCATTTCTAATAAATAATTCCTTCAGTTTTGCAGTAATTATAACTAATGAATCAATAAAATAAATGGCCAAATTATAAAATATTATTATGGAATAAATATATCCTTCAAAATTTATCTATGTTTCAACAATATAAAAACTTGATTTAAATAATATTATTTACATTAATAAAAACAAAATATTTAAGCATAAATATTGAGATAATTATTTTATTTATCTTCTATATTCTTTAGGTTTTATTTGAATTCTCAATAAAGGATACATTTAAGAATATACAATCGTAATTAACAAATTGAAAAAAATTTAAAATGTCATAATCATAGATTTCCTATTATTTATCATAATTATATATACATGAGTTGAGTAGAAAGATTTCTTAATATAAATGCACATACAAAAATAAAAGTTGCTATAATTGTAACATATTACTATTAATTTTCATTTTTTGATATTAAGTTTCTTCCATATGTGAAAATTAGATTGATAACAATTGTTATTGAACAAAAGATTTCAACTACTTAAGTAATTTTAAATAGTTTTTCATAAATTAAATCAGCTTTTTTTTCGGAAATAATTTAAGTAGAAAATACAAATATTTTTTCGTTTTGATCATCAGATTCTTCTTCTAAATCATCACTTTAAATGTTTTAAATTTATTCTTATTAACTTAATACTAATTCAGTATCTAATTATTGATGGTGTTAGTTTTATTGTATTTCTCCCTAAATTTTTTCTTTTAATTTTTTATATAAATGATGAATTTTATATACTTTTTTTTTTTATGGAAAGACTATAGGTTATTAATCATCGTAATTTTATAAAACATTATTGATTTTTAAAATGCTTGATTTACATTGAATCATTAGATTTTTCAAATTACTTAACTTCAAATAAATTTCACCTTTTTTTTTTTTCACTATAGTTACTCCAATAGCATATTATTATGCTAGCAATACAAAAAATAATATTAGGATAAATAGTAATAATGGCCAAACTATAGCTAATAAAATTTATAAGTATTCATTAGATGTATTTTAGTAAAATAGTTGATAAGGAGAAAATGTATATAAAAATAGAACTTGAGCTAATTTAATTTTATTTTCAAAGTCTCTTAAAATTACTATTATTTTATATATAAGACCTTTTACACTTATTGCTTAATTATTACATTAAATGAAGCAATTTAATTTGTTTGATAATTCTAAGAATTATTATATATTATTGGTTGTTTATATTTATTTATAGCCTAAGGGGCTACTTAAAGAAAGAAATAGCAATTTTTCATTTTGGTGCATAAGTGAAGGCATTATTGAATTTAATTATAAATTAAGATTTCCTTATGAGTTCTCTTTTTCTAAATTTTACATATACTGACCAAGATGTTAATGACATTAATTCCATTTATAGTAAGAGAAAAAAGGATTGTGAAATCTTTTAAGTGATGCTAAAGAATCTATTTAGAATTAATAATTCATAAAATTCATGTATCCAACAAAAGAGTTATTAAGATTGCAATATTCGAAAATATTATTTTTATAAGTTAAATCAATATATCCTGTAGCTCCACAAAATTATTCTGATGATCTTAAAGTATTATCCATAGATTAAAATTTAATTGAATCTACAACAATGCTTAATAATCCAACATAAAAATATTCAGATTAAAAATGTTTAAATACTCCTAAATAAATCCAACTTAATAGTTTAAGTTAGCTTTATTCCTCATAGATTATTAAAAATATGCAGTCTTAATATTCAAATGAATAACAAATATTGCCTAATTAATAGTTACAATTAAATACATTTATTTTCATTTACATCTTCCATGAATTAAAAATGATTTCTTATATTAAGCTTATTCATCTTTTCTTTACCATTAACAATAATAACAATATTTGTTTATCTATCTTGATTTGTTTATCTATCTTGATTATTAAAAATATTTTTGAATATTGAGATTTGATTATCAATTTCATTAAAATCTTGATCTTCATAAATTAAACAAAATGTGACACTATTATCATTAACTTTTTCAAATTCAAATATCTATTTATCAATTTATTATCTTAAAATAATTTCAGTTTCTGATGGATATTCAGAAATTTAATAAAGTGAACTAGATATTATTGGTTTATTTATGATTTACTCTTCAAATTGAGTATAATTAGTTTATTAATCTTATTAGTTATTTTATAAACAAGATATATCATTTTAAGTTAAATTCTAGTCTTCTTTGAGTTTAGTAATTACGATATTATAAAGATAAATATGCTATTATAAGTAATTCTATCCTTATTTGCTTATATTTTTATAAATTAATCCATCATCTTTATTAATGGGCCTATAAAATATATTTGCTTCAGATGATTTTAATTTTTCACATAATTCAAAACCCTAAATAAATAATATGATATACACATGGGTAATTTGGATTAAAGTACAAATTAAGCTATTTGGAAGCACGATTCTTTTATTCTGGAATAAACTCTTAACTCCTCATTTTTTAAATATATTAACTAAATTTATAAAAAATATATCTACTATATAAATACTCTGGATGTTTATCTAATGTTATATCAATAATAATTATTTATAAAAATTAATCATTTATAATCAATTTAAAATTAAGGAGCCTGTTTAAATCGAATCGATATTTGTTAATTTTAAATTACCACAATCCAATCTAAATTTTTAATGTTAGAATAATTATCCTACTACTTCATTAAGTTTTTAGAATTTTTGTTTAAACTTTAATAATCCATTTCCTAAAATTATCTTTACGAGTCAAAAAATATTATAAATAAATTATAGTGAATGATACCCAGAAAAAATAGATCCTTCATACTTAGATTGAATTTCCATTAAAAGATAACTAAATTATAAATAATTTAATTGCATATCGAGTAGAAAATACTTTTTGCAAAATTATGACTAAATACTTTAAAATTATAGTAGGATAATGAAACAGCTATTTATATTAGTTGATAATTTTAAATTCCTTAATAGCATTGAATTATTATTACATTATCATTAAAATTATTCACCAGTTAATAGATCTAATCGAATTGTAAAAATATTGAATTTTTCTTTATGTATGTTGTTGTTTATTTCTTTAAACAAAATAAAAATAATAATAGCTTAGTAATACAAATAGTATTATAAATGGCCAAATTATTTAAAATATATTTTTTCTTTATTTCATTACTAATATAGAATTAAAAAGTAATTCTTTAAATAATTCAATTTTTGGTTAAATAGAAATTCCATTTCAAATCTATTTTTCTTTTATCTGATTGAAAATTTAATTAGTTATTGTTATTCTCTAAAAAGAAAAGATTACATTCAAATCAATTTTATTTTTAATATATTACTATGCTTAACAATTTATTCTATTTTATCAATTAGTTCATCTTAGTTTTTTCCATTATATAATAAACTGAAAGTTATTGATTAATCTTATGAATCTTATATTTAAGAATTGGCTACTTTATTAAGTTCATTCTTTATTAAACTATTTTGTTAATATTTTAGTTGCTTAAGTTGCTTCTCATATGATACAGATCCAATAATTATTTTAGTACTTCTTTTTCAACCAAAATTATTTTTATTAAACTAAAATTCTATAAAAAATAATACGACTATTTATTTCAAACAGATGATGAACTTATTAATAAAATTAAAGTAATCCTAATATAAATTAATTATAAATAAATATGTTGTAATAATTAGTATTAGAAATTGAAGCTAAAGTTTTCTAATCTTTAAATCAATTATTTCAATTATATTTACTACTCTTAATTTACTTAAAAGTTTCATTATAATCTTAAATTTCTTTCTTCTGTGCCTAAAATTTTAGAGTTAATTATTGATCTAACATTAATTATACTTGATTCCTAAACATTAATATATTTGGCATTAAGAAAAACTTATTATGAATCAGTTATTATGAAGAATAAATATTAATATAATTTAAAGTTTTGTTTAATAAAAATATTCTACTTCCTTAATTACTTTATCAGATTAGAATAGAAAATTTTATTTGATAAAAATTAATAAATATCATTTTATATATCATAATGCGTAAATAAACGTGAGAATCTTGAAACAATAGTTAAGAGTTATTAAAAGTTGAATGTAAATATTAAATTTAATTAAAAAATATAAAAAGGTAATTGAATTATAAATATAAGTTCTTGTAAGACTTAATATAATAGAATTAAAATAGATATGCCCCTAATATATATTTGATATCAATTCGATCTTAATAATCTTAAATAAAAATAATTAATAAAAATTCATTTGAAAATAAAGGCACATTTTTCTATTTCATCTAATTTTGATTAGATTTAAACTTTAATAGATTTTGTTCTACTTTTTTCAAGTTAAGTGATTTTTTGATTTCTTTCTAATTACAATTAAGAAATTAGATTTATCCTTTTTTATTCAATTTCTTAAAGTCTTTTATTCATTTCTAATTTAATTAGTTATTCTTAATCATTAAATTTATTGATGAGTATTTCTTCTTATTAAGCATATTTTTATTTAAGTACTTTTAATTAAGTTTCTTAACTTTATTTTTATTCAGATTGTGTTCTTTAAATATGATCTTAATTAGCTTCTTTTAGATAAACTTGATACAACTCTGCTTTTAAAAATTCTTTTTAATTTGATAAATATGTCATAATTTTTTATAAGTTTTGATATTCAGCATTTTATTATCTTTTAAAGAAGAGAGATTTTTAAAGTTGTATTTTTAATTGATGTTATAATTATTAAAGTGCTTGAGTTTTTTAAAAGTTAAATTTTAAAAATAATTGAGCAAAGTATTGATTGATTTCATGAATTTATAATTTAGTTTAATATAGAATCTTTTATTCTGCTTATTAAAATGATTCAATAATTTCTTCTCTTTGGATGAGATCTCTAATAGTTTTCATTTATAATAATTTAGATTTAACATCATTAGCTTATTGAAAATCATGATTGATTTAGCAATGAAACATATGTTATTGTGTTAATTTAATAACTATATCCATTTATGATAATTTTAACATAATTATATTAATAATATATTTGATTGTAATGATGAAAATATAATGATTATCAATCTGGATATTCAATATCACCAAATTCAGATGGTAATTAATAAGTACCAGGTCCAGGATCTAAAATGATGAAATATAATTAATTTACAAACTTTATTTCGAATTTAAATAGTTTTTCTTTCTGAAGCTCCAAAACTAAAACCTGAACTGCTTTTTAATCTAAAATCAGCAATATCTCCTGGAGGATCATAAGTTCCTGGTCCTGGAGTTTTAATAATCCTAATAGATTTATTAGAAGATGGAGAGAATAATGGTGCTTTATTGCTGGAATACTTAGAATTAAAATAGTTTCCAGTTTTACTAATACCTCCAACATTATATGCAAAAGGAGAAGGAGTTGTAGATTCCAAATAAATATCTAAAAAATAAATAAACTAATACGTTTAGCTTTAGTTCTTTCTCCAAATGAAAATTTAATATTAGAGAAAGTATCTTTCAAACTATATGTATTTGGTGCAGGATTCTTATTTGGATTTCCATAAATACCAACAGCTTTAGTTTCTTCTCTACCATATCCAAATTTAGTAACTGGTTTAGGTTTAGATTTAATTGTATAAGCAGTAGGAGGAGGAATATACTTATCAGTTAATTTGGCAAAGTCGAATTTTATACCAAATCCAAAACTGCATGTTCTTTTACCTAATGATGTTCTTATTCTAATAATATAAATTAAATTATAATACTAAGAATCATAAAATTATTATTGACAATAACTAGAACGAGGTTTCGAGAATCTTGTAGCTTTAGCAAATGAATATTGTTATTTTGATGGAGAATGATTAATCACATCATGAATAACCTTTTTATTAAATTAATCAGCTGTTCTTAATAGTATCATCGATCCTGTATTTCTTGGCCTTCCATATAATGTTTCTGCAGCACTAAAAGTCCTTTCAGATGCTGTTCTTGCTCTTGCTTTCTTCTTACTACTTCCTTAAGGACTACTTAATTCTATATTATTCCCTGATTGTGTCTCTTACTCTTATAATTTATATTGACTATCCAATAATTTCTCAGACATCTTTTATTTTATTATTGTAATAAATTTAATCAAATTTTATATCAAAATTTTATATTAGATAAAGTTGCTGCTAACAATTCCACATAACTTTATAATTAACTTGTCAATGGCTCTTCAATTCCAAATAGATTCTCACTCACCTCTAATAAATGTTCTCTTTCCATCTCTATTGATAATTTATTCTTTAAACAAGTCTATTCATAATTTATATTAATTTATTATTTACTTCAATTACTCCAATTACCATATCTTATTTATTTAATAAAGGCTAAATAAAAATAGGTAATATAGATATTAAATCAACCTTTGGATTAAAATTAACTGATCGCTTTATATCATTTACTATATATCTCTATTTATTTCTCACTGCCATCCCAGCTAATCCATAATCTAATGAATATTATTATTCTTTTCCTTCAATATAACTTATCAAGTTCTCATCCTCTACAAAATAAAATTAAATCATCTAAAATCCAAATATCTTCTTAAAACTTTATCTTATTCTTTCACTAGCCATCTACTTATCTTTTGATCTTAAAATCTCTGTTAATTAATTATTCATTAAACTTCTATACTTCTATGTTATTAACCAACTCTCCTTATCTACTAATCTTTATAATATTATTCCCAAAAAACTACTTATTATTATACCAAAATATTCTTCATCAAAAGAAAATTAATCACATTCTGAATTCAATATTATCAAACTGCCTCTTATTATATTCTAACCTATACAAAATATTGGTAATATTAAAGCACTCTTACAATATTCAGCCTACTCATTTTCATTTATTCTATATATTATTGCTTTCTTTGGTTTCTAACCTATATTCTATGCTTAATACATTTTAAATGTATCTGCTACCAATCCTTTATCTTATAACGCCTTTATTTATTATCTAGTTTCCAAATATGAATACAATAATCCATTCTTTGTATCTAATAACCATAATTTCACTGTCTCACATTTAAATACTTAAGGTAATTATCTATTTACATTATAGATTAAATCTTCTATTGTTTAACTATTGCTAAACTCTTCCATTTATAATAACAATTAATTCAATCTCTCAGAAAACTCCTTAAAAGACAATAATTAATTACAATAGTAAGTTATTTACTATTTCTAAACTTCCTATGATTATTAAGATATTTATTATAATGTATTTAAAACTCCTTTCTCACATAAATCATTCAATAAATTTTAATGATCTAATTTCTAACATACTATTCGAAAATCTAAATTCTAAGGTATTTTAAAATTCATTAATAATTCAATATCATCTTTTTTTATGAATCCTCTAATTTCATCGTCATCATTCTTTTTTCTTAAATTATCAATAGTTTTTTATAATCTACTTACTACCAATTAGTATTAATTTAATTTTCCTTAAATTCTCTCTACTTCTTAATTTTTTCTTTCTAAATCTCTTTTTAATTATTCATTCTCCTTCATTAAAATAGTCAAATTTGATCTCATTTCAAAAATGTTGATATCATTTGACACAATAAATTCTATTCTTTTTTCTAATGCATTTATTTTCTTGACATTAATTTCATTTAAATTTTTTTCTTATTTTAATTACTTTTATAATTTAAAATTTTCCTCTATCAATTTATGACTTCTGTTTGAATTGATTTCAACTTCTTATTGCAATGATTTATTTCTATCAAATAATTCAGCTTCTTTCTTTAATACTTACTTATTTAATACTATAAATTAGTAAATTATGAATACTTGAAGTTTTCTTTTGTTCTCTATTTAAAAAGCCTAACTAAATTTCATTTTTGGTTGTATTCTAAATAGTTTTGACAATAGAGAGTAAGAGTTGCTCAATTTTTTAAATGGTTGGTAAACTATTCAATTAATTTTTGTTTGCTGTAATAACTTAAATAAGGAATTCTAACGTTGTACATCTAGATATCAATCTATTTTGTAAATCTTTAATTTTCTTATTACATTGAATTAGTTTACTTAGACTTCAAGATCTTCATTTCCTTCTGTTAATAGTCTTTACTCTTTACTGTAAGCTGTACTCAATGTAGTTAATTTATTTGGTAAAGTCAAAGTTTATTATGATTATTAATTGGCTCGAGGAGTACTCATTTAAGTAGCTCCTAAATAATCTATAGATTATGGTTATTTAGACAATAAGTGAACTAACTATGAATGTTTCATATTTTATATATTTATATATATATATATTCAATCTTATTATTGATTGTCTAATTTTACTTTTTTCTTGTTCTTCTTTTTATTTGGTGGTAATTTATTTTGAATCTACTCAATATCAAAAACTTTAATTGTTTAATCTTCAGAACCTAAAATTAAATTGATACTTGTACTTGTAATTATTAAATTATTTGTAAAATATACAAAATCTAACAAAAAACCACTATGACCTCTAATATTTGCTTTCTCTAATCCTTCCAATGTTTATCTATTAGGTATCATTCTTTATAAGATTTCATTGACATTCCAAATTTGTAATGATTAATGACATTTGGCTAGAGCTGTGATTAATCCATTACGTTATTAAACTTTTTAAATTGGAAAACGATGTTTTAAATAACCCAATAAAACAATTTCATCCTGGATTACATTGATTGATATAGTTTGATTATTACAACCAGTGAGTAAATAAATATTGTTATTATATAAACTAACATCAATACAATTTATTTCTGTATTATGAATTTACTTAGTATCACAATGTTATTTCTGATAATAGAAAATATGAAATCCATTAAATATAAAAAATAAGTAACATTTTTCATAATGAAATAGAAATTAGATGCTATTTATATTAATTGTAATAATATCGAATTTTTTATTTTTGAAAAGCTATTATATTTAAATCTTTTATTGTATTAAGAAATTGAATAATACTTATCCTGTTGCTAATTCAATTAATTAAATTCTGCCAGTAAGCATAAAAACTAAGATTGAGTCTTTAATTTGATGTGGTTTTGCAATTTAATCATTGTCTTAATCATTTTATAATTAAATATCAAATAAATCTAATAATATTAATACTTATTTTTTATTTAACCATTCTACTTTAGTGATGGGATCTTCAAAAACATATTTATCAAGTAATTATTCTTTATATATATCAACTAATTCAATTTTTTGTTCTTTTTAAATAAGAACAATTCCTTCTTAGAATGGACTAACATAAAAATTAGAGAAATCAGTAATTTTCCAAAATTCATTAATATATACAGGATATTTATTTTTAGTTAAATCAAGTGATTTAAGTGTTGAATCATGATAATATATGAGATTCTTCTCTTTACCAATTTATAATTTATTAACTTTACCTGATAAACAAACAAATTTATGATAATCAACAATTTAACCATCTTCAATACGAAATGAAAATATTCTTCTATCTAAACCTACAGTATAATATTGATTATGGTAATTATTCATTAAATAAATTCCTTTAAGATGAATTTCTTATGGTAATTTATAGAAATGTTTATCAGAGATGATATTTGCATCTAATTTTAATGATTTAATTTGATTAGTTAATTAAATTAAGAATATTTCTCCTTGTTTAGAAGTAACAAAGATTTATTTATCATCTAAAAATTTAAGACTTAATGAAGCTTTTTTGAGATTGTCAGTTGGCAATTTGTCATTGACTATGAATTTTAATTCAATGAAGATATCAGTATCATTAATAGTATTAGTTAATTTCCATTAATCTATTTAATCTAATTGAAATACATGTAAACTAATAGTTTTATGTAATTTATTTAAGACTGCATATTAATTTTAGAATGTATCAACACATAATATATGATAAGGATAATCATATTCTGATTTTTATAAAAATCTATACATTCTACCACTTTAATAAATAACAACATTTTAATCTGCCCATTTAGGTATACATTGAGGTTATGTTATTAATTTTAATGAAAAATGTATTAACTCATATTTATCATTTAATTTAAATTCAATAGCTATTCCTTTATTATCTAATAATAAATAATGATTATTAATTTCTTTTAAAATCATAGGAATTTCAATGTTAAATTCAAGCTTACCTAAATACTTTTATTGTTCAAAGATTGTAATAATACCACTCTCTTAACCAATAAATATGTATTGATCTTTTAAATACAACATTGTTACTTTTTATTATCCTTATAATGTATATTTGAAGTGTTTATTTTCACTATTATATACAAACACTTAATCATTAACTCCATAACATAATAAATGATCATTCATTTATGCAATCTGAGGATAAAACCAATTAGGACTGAATGAAATACATTTTTAAGGAATGTCCATAATTATATAATAATAAATTAAATATAATCATTATGACATTGCATTTTGAATTCCATCTTAAGGATTAAGTGGTTAACTATCTTCTTCTAATTTCTTTGCTTCATCTTCTTCTTATTTCTTTTTCTTTAGTTATTCAGCCAATAATGCTTATCTCTTTGCTTCAATAAGTCTATGTTCATGAATTCCATAATAATAATATCCATTCAAAGATGTTAGAAATTCAAACAAAAATGGAATAATGCTTAAACAGTTAATTATCTTTATTTACCAAAATATCACCCAAAGATACATTATTGTTTTATACTTCCATCTATCAAATAGAAAACAAGCAAATGTCCAAATCCCAATGAAATGATAAATGCATAAAATTGAATTTATTTTATCAAAATGAATGTTCATTGCCAACATGTTTAAACCAATCTATGTTGCCTAAAATAGTATACACAATATCAAAAATATTATTATGCTTTTTTAGTTGTATTTTATTACTAAAATTATGCATCTGAATATTCATCAGCTGTTGGAATTGCTCTTAATCCAGCTGTTATATTTTGATGTGTAGCACCTAAACATTAACAAGTTATGATTAATTCTAACACTACTAGAATAAATTTTGAAACTATTAAAGACCTTGAGGTCTCAGAAAATTTATTTAAACTTAAAATTTTCATTATATTATCATATTACTATTATACACAATTATAATATTTAGAACTCATTAAAATTAAATTTATATATTCAATTAACTTCAATATTCTTGATACATTTTACATACTAATATTACAACAATAAATCTAATTTGTTCTTTATCATTCTTTAAAAAAAGATAATAAATGAATTATAAATTAATGTTTAATTGATAAAATAAATTGAAATAAGTTGATATATATAAAATTAGCTTCTATTATTACAATTATAGACAAATTAAACAATATATATATATGTTATTCTTTTATTAACAAATAAAGAATTTATAAAATGATTATAATTATATAATTATGATAAATTTATCATATGAAAGCGATCATAAAATTGGATGCCAAAGAATATCATGTTCATAAATGCCTAAATCTTTATAGTCTCCATCAGATCTTAAACCCCCTACTATTAATTCATCTCTTTTTAGTAATGTAAATCCTTACTCTGATCCTGTATAATCTAATTTTATTATTAGAGCATTCATAGATAAATTGATCCTTTAAGACCAAATCAAATCTTAAATGCAGAAACTCCTGAACATAGACTTATTGATGAAACTGAAACTAAAAGAATGAAAAAAAGCAATTTTAATAAGTTTAAAAAGTTTGTATTTTCATCACCTTTTATAAATAAAGACATTTTGGATAAAAAAATTATACATAAATTTATCACACTTCTCAAACAAAAAGCATATATTTATAATGACTACTTTTTTAATTCATTATAAAAACAGATTTTAACTGAAAAATATGTCATATCACCATATAATTTAACTGATAATCATAAAAATCTAATTATACTTGACTTTTTATTTTATTTTATATGGGATGTACTCACATTAATTCTAACAACTATTTTACTCTTTTGGATTATTTATAAAATTACATTTCATACTACAAACCAATAATTAACATAAATCCTATTCATTTTATTTATTATACTTGATGTATTTATTTGTTTAATATCACCATATATTTCAAAAGGATACATTATACTCAACAAGTTCGATATCATTCGCAATCAAATCACCTGCAATTTAATAGTCAATTTAATATATTCAGTCACAACTATTCTTTTACTCTTATTAAATAATAATAGTGAAATTTTACTCATTTTATACGCTTTTTAATTTATTTCATCATTACCTAAATTAAGTTCAACAATTCATAAGTTATCAGATTATACCTCTTTAAATTTGTAACTCATCATAAACATAACTTAATTATTATATTTAATTCATCTAAGTTCATGTATTTGGCATATTATAGGGATGCATGATGAAAATTCATGGATCTATCAAAATCATTTAGAAGAATCAGATAATATGACAAGATATTGTCATTCATTCTATTATTCAATATCATAATTATTTAATGCAGGATCTAATAATATAACCTTAACTACTAATACAGAATTCATTTTTTCAAGTGTTTAAATATTTCTATCTGTTTGGATATGTAGTTTAATTCTTTTATAATTGAATTAAAATTTAAAGCCCTTCTACTAATAATAACATTTATTATTGTAATTATTTTAATTATTTTTAGTAAGGAGATTGAAGCCATAAATGGCTTTCTAAATAAAAAAAATGTACCTCTATTAATGAAAGCTTAAATTAGAAATTATATCAAATACATGTTTTCAAATAAAAAGAGTGATTTTGAGGTATTTTTAAAATGGTAAACTTAGATAAGATTTAAAATATAGTTTAATCATTAAGACCTGATCTAAAAGAAGATTTAATATAATAAATGAGATTGTAAGCTTTGTCTTATTGCAAAATATTATAAAGGTTTTCAAAAGATTCTCTTTAATAATTAACTAAACATATGGAACATATTCATTATAATCCAAATGAAATAGTTTCTTTATAAGATTAATCTTTATATTTGATTGATACTGGGGAAATTGAAGTTTAAGAATATGATTAGAGATTGCATACTTTAAAATTCGGAGATTCTTTTGGAGAAGTTGCTTTTTTCTCAGGAATTTAAAATAAAACTGTTTATAAAACCTAAGAGTTTACCTAACTTTATAGAATTAATTAATGCGATTTCTTACGTATCATTTAATAAAACAAAGTTGATCACGAAAGATTTATGTACATAAAACATTCCATTTTATATGGATATTTTAATATAATTAATTTAAAATGTTTTTCTTGCAATTCACAGTCACATTTAATTAATAGTTGTCCACTTTTAAATTATAAACCAGATATTGAAAAGATATTTAAACATGCTAATTTTCATTCTCAAAATAGAGATTAATTTGTAAGAGATAAAGATATTGATTAAAGAGCTTTTAACAGAACTTTTAAAAGAATTTTTGTATAAAAATATATTAAATAATAGATTAATTTTGATGCTTTAAAAATGTTTCGATTAAAATATGATCTTATTGATTAAGATGATATGTATCCAAAAAGTAATGAAATAATTGAGACTGAAGATATTGAATCTGATTCAGATTCAGATTCAGGAGAATCTTATGAATAATATCAATCTGATCAAATTCTATCTGATAATAGATTTATTGATAAATAAGATGGGTATTTATTTAAATAAAACTTAGTACAATTGTTAGTATAATTAAATAATAAGATTAATTGAGGGATAACTCTAAAATATTATTAGAAGTTGATGATAATATTGAGGAAATGTTTATTATTAGACCAAATAATTAAAAAACAACAGTAAGTACTGCTTAATTTTAATATGAATAATAATAATAGTTTTAGTCATAATAATAATAATAATAGTAATAATAACAATAATAACAATAAAATCAATAATAATATAGATTTTCATTGATGCCAATAGATCCTAAGTTAAGAAAACAATCTTCTTCATAATTAGAATAATTATCATCTTAAAATATAGCAACAGAAGGATAAATTCCAACAGTGAAAGGATCAAAAAATAATTCTTAAATAGCATCTAAAGGTGAATCTAATGATAAATTAAAATTTGGATCATAAAAGAAAATATCAAGTTATATTAGTGTTGAAAATAAGATGAAAAAGAATTTATCAAGAATAAGAGAAGAAGATTCTGATACTTTAAATTTATCTAATCGTTATAACTCAGATGAACAACAAAGTTCTTAAAATATGAGATATTTTTATAGATAAAGTCATAATTCATTGCCATCTAGAAATACATAATTGAGACCATCTATGAAAAGAATATCATCAAAAATATCATCTATAAATTTAATAACTGGGACAAGAACTTATAATAAAACCAGCAATCCTTTTACAAGATCATTTGGAAATTTTCCTACAAATATAGGAATGGTAGATTTGAGTATGTACAAAAGAGATGATTTAAAACCTGAAGATTTTGAGACAATGTTTCTTTATAAAATTTATTTTCCTTTAGGAAATTATCCAAATATAATAAAGAGACTTAATTATTATTTAAAATGGAGATTATAAGAATTTGTTTAATCAAAATATACTTTTCAATATAAAGTGAAATAATTAACTTAAAAACATAGTTTGTTATAGATGATGAATCCAGATTTGATAAATATAAAAAGTTAGTCTAAAACAATATTAGAATCATGATAAGAAATAATTGTTTATAAAATAACAAAAAAATACTTAAATATCATGGTTTTTATTTTTCTGTTGATAAATCGTTGTATAATTTATTAATTTCAATATATTTGTTCTTCCATTTAATAGCTTCAATTTTATTTGATGAGGATTCTCTTTGAAGCTTGATAATGACTTTTTGTAATTCAATAATTTAATCTTTCAAATTGTCTTCTTTATCATCAAGTCTTCTATCAGAATTCAATGCTGTACTGATAGTATTCTATTCTTAAGTTCTACTCATTTGATTTATAAAATCTAATTTATCACACTGATATTGGTTTGATTTTAATTTTTTAATTTCTTCTTTGTAACCTTAAGCTTCACATGCTAAATCTTCCTATCAATAGTGTGTATTAGCATACATATTCTTTTTCTAAATATGAAGCCTTTTGTTAACTATAAGATAATTCTTCTTCTAATTGTTATATTTTTTTCATCCATTTTTGTTCATACTATTTTAAATCAACAACTTAAGCTTATTATTATACTAACGTAATAGGAACTTATGTATAATGTCTTGGAGATTGATTTAAGTTACAATTGTTGTGATTTACAAATTATCTTGGAGATAAAGGTAAATGATAGTAATTTTGCATGTAATTTATATTATTTTACATAGATAATCTAATACTTATTTCAAATATTAAGATAAATATCTTTCTCTTAAACTAATATCATAAAAATAGGGATATTCTAAATTTATTTAATTTTAGAGATTGTTAGGTCATAAGAGTATTAAATGCTTAATATGAGATCTAACATAATCATATTAAATAATTTTGTATTTAAAATCTTTAGCGATTAAAAATGTCAGATATAATAATAGAAAATCATGAAGAAGTAGCCAAATAAAACATTATATCAAATGCCCATGAATTTGACAATTCTTCTGAATAAAGAATACCAACTATTCTAACTCCAAGTATTCAACCTCCTCAACTTTCTATAAGTGAAATCACACCTAAAAATACTGATGAATATTTAAACACTATTATTTCTTAAGGAAATACACTAGAATGTGATGTTAAAATAGTTAAAGGATGGTTTGGTCGCCATTTAAAATATAATTTTTATCACTCTAAGACTCAAACTTTGTTACTTTCTGTGAAAAAGTAATAATGTTTAGGTAAACATAAGTTTTAGTTAAGTAAATCAGAAAATGAGCTAGATATTGTTGGAACATTAGAGTATTATCAAATATTTAATATAGGTCTAATTTTACTGGCACTGAATTTATTTTGTATTCAAATGGACTTTCCTATAAGAATACATAAGATAAGGAGGCATTAAGAAAAGAATTAGCTTACATCCATTATGAATATTAACTCTTAAAAACTAGAAGTATTTAGATAATATATATAATTTAGAAGGAAATCTCTTCAAAGCTTACATTCCATCGTTAGTAGAAGGTTGTCCTCGTTAAATTATACCTATTGATGAAAATACAGGTTTAAAAATTAAAACCAGATTTTTAAATAAAAGAAACGAAGAATATTTTGAATTCCAAACTTAAGAACCTATATGGAGTACAAAACATTAATCATTTACACTTCCATTTAATTCCAGAGTTAATAGTGCATCAGTTCATAACTTTTTATTAAAATAATTAAATGAAGATGGTAAATTAAACAAAGATGTCGCAATTCAATTTGGAAAATTTGATGACAAATTCTTAAATATTGATGTTACTTATCCATTCACTCCATTACAAGCATTCTCTATTATCATAAGTTAATTAGATAATAAATTGCTTATTTGAAATCTCTCATCAAATATCTGATATTATATGTTTAATAATACTATATAATCTAATTAATTTCTTCTCTTAATGTTTTTTATGTTAATATATTATGTCAATTAGAATGTTATTAAATAAACCAAAAAATAAATGTCAGATATATAAATGTTCACCAAATTTAAATTCCTATTTAATTACAGATATATTCTAGTTTGATAATAAATACAAATAGTAAGAAATTCATTCATTCATGGATTTTAATAAAAAAAAATGTGGATAAAAGAATGATCAATATTATGGTTAACTAAAGGAATTGCTTAGATGTATTTTAAGGTTTGGTGATGTANCAACTTTCTATAAGTGAAATCACACCTAAAAATACTGATGAATATTTAAACACTATTATTTCTTAAGGAAATACACTAGAATGTGATGTTAAAATAGTTAAAGGATGGTTTGGTCGCCATTTAAAATATAATTTTTATCACTCTAAGACTCAAACTTTGTTACTTTCTGTGAAAAAGTAATAATGTTTAGGTAAACATAAGTTTTAGTTAAGTAAATCAGAAAATGAGCTAGATATTGTTGGAACATTAGAGTATTATCAAATATTTAATATAGGTCTAATTTTACTGGCACTGAATTTATTTTGTATTCAAATGGACTTTCCTATAAGAATACATAAGATAAGGAGGCATTAAGAAAAGAATTAGCTTACATCCATTATGAATATTAACTCTTAAAAACTAGAAGTATTTAGATAATATATATAATTTAGAAGGAAATCTCTTCAAAGCTTACATTCCATCGTTAGTAGAAGGTTGTCCTCGTTAAATTATACCTATTGATGAAAATACAGGTTTAAAAATTAAAACCAGATTTTTAAATAAAAGAAACGAAGAATATTTTGAATTCCAAACTTAAGAACCTATATGGAGTACAAAACATTAATCATTTACACTTCCATTTAATTCCAGAGTTAATAGTGCATCAGTTCATAACTTTTTATTAAAATAATTAAATGAAGATGGTAAATTAAACAAAGATGTCGCAATTCAATTTGGAAAATTTGATGACAAATTCTTAAATATTGATGTTACTTATCCATTCACTCCATTACAAGCATTCTCTATTATCATAAGTTAATTAGATAATAAATTGCTTATTTGAAATCTCTCATCAAATATCTGATATTATATGTTTAATAATACTATATAATCTAATTAATTTCTTCTCTTAATGTTTTTTATGTTAATATATTATGTCAATTAGAATGTTATTAAATAAACCAAAAAATAAATGTCAGATATATAAATGTTCACCAAATTTAAATTCCTATTTAATTACAGATATATTCTAGTTTGATAATAAATACAAATAGTAAGAAATTCATTCATTCATGGATTTTAATAAAAAAAAATGTGGATAAAAGAATGATCAATATTATGGTTAACTAAAGGAATTGCTTAGATGTATTTTAAGGTTTGGTGATGTATTCTGAATTAAATACAGAATATATATTATAAATATATTATTATAATAATACAAAATAAGATAAGATAAATTTCATTGAAAACATTTTTTGGTAATCCAGAATTTGAAATATTTTGTATTCGATTTGATTATGAAGATTAAATAATAGCAGCTGTTAATAAAAATCGTATAATTTAGGTTGTTCTGATGGAACAGTAAATATATTTAAAATAGTGACAGGTGATACATAAATTTGATATTTATTAGATAAATTAGCATTTAATTTATAAGGATCATTTGAAGGATCAACTCCTACAATGAGTATTAGATGGAGAAAGGAAATAAAGTTAAAAATGTAGTAATAAATATAAATTTTGATGGATCAATAATGTTTTGGTAAGCTTAGTCAGGGAAATAATTGCATAGAATAATAGAAAGAATAACTAAATTTTATGTATGGATCTAAAATTAGATGGGGAAGTTTTTGCTACCTCAGGAAAAGGTTGTAAAGTACTCAATTATTAAATTAATTAGATTCGAATTTATGATGAGGAAAAAAAAGAAATTATTCATAAATTTGATTCAGCTGATTAGTAAGAAAGTATACATAATTTAAGTAATTAATTTGGACATTTGAATAGGGTGTTCTCTTTAAAATTTTTAGAGGAATTCCCAAACACTATTCTTTCATGTGGTTGGGATGGTAATCTAGATATTTGGGATCTTAGAGATAAAAGAAGTGTTGGTTCTATATAAGGACCTCATGTATCTGGAGATAGTATTGATTTTAGGTAAAATATGATGAATAATTAAATTAAGGAATGGTTAACTTCTTACTGGTTCTTATCGAACAAATAATTAATTACAACTTTGGGATTTTGGTATAAGATGTTTGATAAAAAATATAAAATGGGATGATATCTAGACAGAAAATAGTAATATATACTCTAGCTAATTTAGTAAAATAAATAGTGATACTATATTGGCAGGGAGTAGTGGGAAATAGGAAGTAAAGTTTTTTGATGTAAATGAAAATTATGAAGTTTGTGGATGGATTCATGATTTTAAAGAAGGTTTATATAATATAAAAATAATTAGGTATGTATTGTGTTGATTATGGGAATAAATCAAATAAATTTGCATTTGGAGTTGGAGAAGGAGTAGTTTACATTTGTTAATTGAATACATATAAATGAATAAACTATAAATTATTTTTGATATTAAAATACAAAAATATGGAGCCATAATCGTTGATAGATAACTTAAATGAAGTTCTTCTTGGAGATTATTTTACATATATAGATACATTAGGCAAGGGTAGTTTTGGGATAGTAGTTTCTGCTTATAGTTCATCATTAGATAAAGTAGTAGCCATTAAAGTATACTTATAATTTAATTAGATTACTTAATACTTTGAATAAGAAAATGAGTCATCCTTATTACAAGAGTGCTCTCATCCAAATATTGTTAAATTATATAAAGTAGACTAACTATATATTTTATTTATTTTAGGTCTTAATAGCTAATAATAGAGTCTATTTGATTATGGAAAAGTTGGTAGGTACTACATTAGATGTTCTAATGAAAAGTACTGTATTAACTGAAGCCTTAACTAGAAATATAATGTTATAAATCTTGAATGCTCTTGTCTTTCTTCATAGAAAAGGTATAATTCATAGAGATCTTAAGCCAGGTATATCTATATCTAATAATCAATTAGAAAATATATTTATATGTGAAAATAATTATGTTAAATTGATTGATCTGGGTTTAGGATATTAAATGTTTTCAAGAGCTTTTATTGGTTAATAAGTTGGTACTCCTTATTATATTGCTCCAGAAGTTATTAATTAATAAGAGTAATCATAAGTATTTATTTTAATCTAAATTAGTTAGTTGATATCTTTTCTTTGGGAATTATATTTTATCAATTAATCAACAATTCCTAACATCCGTTATGGCAGAAGGGATAAACTAAAAAAGATTATTATAAAACTATATCATCTGAGTTTTATATATAATATCCTCCATAAATGTCAGAGTATATAAACTAACTATTAAATTATTTAGAATGGCTAAAGATTTTGTATAAAATACTGTGACATTCCAATCTATCAATAGGATGTCTGCTTTATAGTGTTTAGAACATCCTTGGATCTTAGGAGAATAAACAAAATCTCATCCTATAACTAATAGAGAAATTAAATTAAGATATTCATTTACTGAATATTTCAATAATGTAAAAGGAATTTTTAATATTTAGATTGTTAAAGCTTTATGGATACTCAAAATTTTTAAAGAGTAGTGTTCTGAAGAAATCTATTATATGAAAACTTAAGAATCTGATGAAATAAATGAATTAATTGATGAAAATGAAGAATAATAACCATTATCAACTAGAGTTCATACAGAATAATTGATTCCAAGTGGCAGATAATATCGTCTACATCGACACACTACTAAAATAGAAAGAAAACCTTCTATTAAATTAATTAAAACATCATCACATCAGGACTTATCCTAACTTAAAAATAAACTTTAAACATCTAAAAAATTTTTTAGTATTAATTTTAATATATAAGATCATATAAATCTAGCTCAGAGATTTAAGGACAATTTTACAATTCCAAAAGTTAATAGTTCAAAGAAGATTTCATCTCCTAACTTATTGCCTATAATATCTCCAGGTAAACAGAAAACATCAAGTTTCAATTTTAATTTTAGATAATAGTGATTTTAATTTACATATTTTATAAAGATTTTACTTTTAAATTTATCTTACATGTATTATGACTAATTTAAAAAAATTCTTGGTATGCTCTTAAAGACATAAAATGATGTAAAGTAATTTCACAAATTTACCAAAGTTATATTTGATACTGATGATGATGGTCTTGCTATATTTACTAAATAATTTATATATAAGAACTAATTTAAAGTTATGATTTTGAATAACCTTCAAAAACATATACAGGATATGAATTTGATCGAATGAGGAGAATTAATTAAGATTAAAGAGGACGGGTTTGGGAGGAGATTAACAAAAGTACTTAAAAAAAATAAATATTGATGAAAATAGCAAAATAAACATACTATTGATTTAATTATTAAAAGCATTGAAAGAATTAAAAAGCTTTATGTATATTTTATATAGGTCCTTGACACCTTATATATTGTTTTAATTTAATTCTTAGAAAAAAAATATATTAGCAATCAAAATGGTTTAAAAACAAATTTTAAGAATGAGATATATTTTGGAACAGGATATTGGAGAATAGATATATAATGTTCAATATATAATAAATAATTAAATTGATTCATGATATAAGTTTAATTTTTTAAAATGGAAATGATAAGAAGAAACCAATTTACAATAAAAGAAATAATTGTATAGACAGGATGAGAAAGTATTATTTGAAACTTGTTATTATTTATGTATGTACAATTGTAAGTATGATTATAAGAATTGACATTAGTAATTGAAATAATACCAGAAGTACATCTAATATGGCAATACTCGCTTTGTTGGAATGAAATGATATAATTAGCATAGAAAACAAATTAAGAATGATCAATTTATTAATTAAATTTAATATATTTTATCATAATTTCTCATTCAAAAATAAAAGGATCTTTAAAAACGTATCAAATCCAGTATTTAAACTATCAGCTAATGAATGATCCGCATTTGGATAAACATAAGTTTAAACTTCAGTTCCAACTTCTAATGCTTATGCTCTTAGAGCTAAAGATTATTGATAAGGACATCTTCTATCTTTTGAACCTATTAATAACAACGAAGGAATTCTTAGTGGTTGTAACATAGGCGATTTTTCAATCAAAATTTTATAATCTTCTGTACTTAGATTCCATGTATGTTTTCTATTTAAAGCGCAGGATGATCCCCATTCAGGAATATCTGTTATATTAATCATAAATGGTAAATTAACAACAGGATTCATTATTACTGCAGCATTAAATTTATCATGATATTTAGATCCCATTAAAGCACTTAAATATCCACCATAAGAACCACCCATTATAAAAGTCTTTCCTGTTTTAAATTTTTACTAAACTTAATTTATCATATCTAAGATTTCCTATGCATCTAATTCTCCTATCTTTCCACTCAAAGCTTCTATAAAGTTCTATCCATAACTACATGATCCACTAAAATTTGGAGCCAATAAAATAAATCCTTACTATAATAAAATATGTCTTAATTATGTATATTAACTTTATATAACACCATGAGGCCCACCATGAGCTAATACTATTAATGGTCTATCATTAAAGAATTTTCGTAATTCTAAATTCTCTTCCTCATCTTTTAAATACCAAACAAAACCTTCTGCCTCACCACTTTAAACAAACTCTTCAACGAACTTTTCTTTTGAGACTTTAATATTAAAATGATCTAAATTTCTTATATGTTTTCTTTATTTATCCATTGCATTAATTACGGCTGTTAGGATTGGAGATTAATTTATATTCTCATCAGTGTAATATAAAATATCATTTTCTTTATCATAATTTATTATTTCGCAATTATGTGTCACTTCTTATTCTTCAGAATGACTTATATTTACTATTTATTTTGTATTCACATCTATGCATTGTATTTTTTATTGACCTAATACAATTGAACTATAGATGAAATTGTTAGAATCTCTACTCCAAAAATTTAATTAAAGATCATCATAAAAACCACATATTCCTCCAATTATATTATCTCTCTTTTCTGTCTTCTCTCTCACTTATCTTAAATCATTTTCATTTTTTACACCAATTAATTCTTCCACTGTCTTACTTTCTAAATTTATCATATTCAAACTCAAATAACATAAATGTTGGTGTTTGTAATCTGATCCTAAATATAATACTTTTTTATAATCTGGACTTATAAGAGGTTTTACGGATATATCGTGCTTTGATAATAATTGTAATGGTTATTCATCCATTACCTCTCCTTTCTCAGGCAACTCTAATAATTTTGGTTTCTCTATTAAATATATTCCACTCTCCCTATTAAAACAATGAACTATTCCATATTTAAATTCTTTATGAATTTTATATCCCCCTAATATTATTTCATCATTCTCTGTAAACTAGGGATATGTTAAAAATAAATTATTAGGTGTTTATACTTTGTATAATCTTTGCTATTCGATATCTATCATAAATAAATAAAATATCTCTACATTATCCATCCTCTCTCCCCAGCTTTATTCATATTTCCTATAATTCCATGCTTATTGTATTTCCTCTTCTTTTTCCACCTAAAAGAAAGTCTTAGTTTCTTTATTCTTCCCTTTCGCTAAATACAAAACTTTATTATTTTTTTTGTTCCAAATGAATGGTTCTCCCACCATCTCATTATTCAATATTTCTTCATGGTATTTTTATGTGTTTATGCTAAATAGTAATTTGCCTTATTCATGTATCTCTATCACTTATCTTGGTTTCTCTTATTCATCTGTTATTTACTATTATTTAACAAATCTCTCTTTATCATTACTAAAAGATGTCAATAAATTTTGTTAAACTATACTTCCTCTTTAAAGTAGATGAAACCCATCCAATTTTAATTAATACAAATTTTAGTAATCTAGTGAAGAGTTTTCTGTAATATTTTTCTTTGATATAATCATTTACACCAAATAATCATTATTTTATAGCTTAGCAATTGTATTCACTTTTTTTATTGTCTGCAATTACGATGCTATGGTTTTAGTAACATTTATATATCCTTTCACACAATTCATTTTATGTTTTTATTTAGGATTTATTATCTAAAAATTTGATCAATAAAATCTCAAAATTGCTTAAAAATCATGATTTCTCAAGAACTTATAAAGTAATATAAAAACAATTTTATTCATTCAAAAATACCTAATAAATAAGTTTATTTAATAAGCTAATCCACTAATCATAAAAAAAGATTGATCAATTATTCTTATTATAAAGTATTTCAATTTCATCATAAATTGATTAAAATCAAAATTTTTGAATTATAATTTAAATTGATTTATATA